AAAAAAAAAATTAGACACTGTTAATGAGGAATTATGGTGTCTGGAATCTATAATTGGTCAATGGCAATGTCTCATCACTTTCAGTAATCAAAAACCATTGAACTATATTTAAGTGATGTATTTTGCGCACAATAAATCGCTTGAGTTATTTAATTGTTATTAAGTGTCGACGCATAAGTGATATAACACTTCCGGCTGAAGTCTAGTTCATATAAAATTTTCTAGCCCAAACAGTTTGAATCAGCAAGAAACCTTTTTTTTTTATTATTTCGCTTATAAAGTCTACAGCAGATCAGACGATGAAGAGCTTTATTAATAGACATTGCTTCCAAATGCCCATAACAATTTCTGAATGCAGTTATTTTGGCGTCTGGTAGACTACTCTGTCACTTGAGCTAGAATTTTTTGATCATTCCCGTTCATCGCCCCAGTAGAAATTCAGTGATTTTTTCAGCATCCATAAAAAATAAACTCTAGAAAATCCTATATTCTAGCTGCGATTTTGGACAACGTATCTGAAGACAAAATTTCAGCCCATAAGCTCGTTATGCCTAAATGCCGCTAGCTTACAGCTGCTAAATAATCAATAGCTAACTTTTTCAACCAAAGTAATGACTGCCAGTTTTATGTGTCGATATATTTGTCTAACAAAACTTAGTTCTTCCAAAATAGAAAAAAAAGTTATTGGCTATAGTTGTTTCATTTGAGTGTTTTTTTTTTCCAGTACTCATGTATCAAGTAATTGAACAGCATTGCCAAATGCAGAGATTTTAAAAACTTCATATGTAACATTATTATTGAATAAAATTAAAAGAAAAAAAAGAATTGTTAAAAAGCATGTTTGATTCGATGACATATTTTTTCTTTTTTTTTCTTCACTTCTAACTTTATCTGTGGACTATAAATCATAGAAGCAGTTACTTTAAATTTATTAAATTGATATTTTAGCAGAAATCAGTGTCAGTTATGCACTGCAACTGTAGCAGTAATTTTACACATATTGAGTAGTTCAAAAAACTGTAAATAATTGTAAATATTTTGATGAATTTGTAACAGCAATTTTTTGGACAAATTTTATTGCACATTTACAACTAAGAATGCAGAAAAAAAATTTTTTTTCTTTGCTGTGATAAACAAAAGTAAAAAACAATAGACTATAACAGTATTGTGCCAGTTTAAATTTTCAAGAAAAAAAAATTAACAGAAAAGCATGTGCGGGAAAAAATAGAACTGTCTAATTGCCAGTAAGTAGTCTCAGTTTGTTTGAACTAAACAGATGGCTGTTAAGCTGATGAGACATTTAGAAGAATTAATTTATTGCATTGGAATTTTGCCAATAAAAAAAAAATGGAAATACTTTTTCCTTTTGTTGAGCAAAAATCAGTATATGAATAATAGCAACAAAGGTGTACTGACTATTCACTGTATATAATTTGGACAACGGTTACGGTTTGCCTTTTTTTTATAAATCTTTTTTTGTGTGTTTGTCTGTATATGTATGATTTCGTTGATATGTGTATTTTTGCGGTGTTGAATTAAATTGATTTCAAGTTCCACAAAACGGTATTTGATGACACACGTTTGGCAAAAAAAATTTTTGCTCCTATTTTTTACTTTCATTCAAATCTGTTGCTAATCAACCAGTCTGAAGGACGGGACCTTTTATAGTTGGTGGATCGGTAAAATGCCAGACATAAATTTGATTAATTTTTTGAAGCAAAATTAGTGGAAAAATATTTATCATTTTTCAAAAAACAAATAAGCCATTTTTTGAGTGAAAAAAATACGTGATAAAAAATTCTTGAAAGATCAAAACTTCTTATGGGATAGAAACCACCACCACCGACAACAGCATTGGTTGTCCGTTGACAGTCTGTCAGCTGTAATCAACTAGCAGAAGCTATGGAAGGATATGTTGCTAAATTTCTTCCTTTTTTTTCCAATATTTTTTTTTTGTTTGTTTTTTGTTTTTATTATATCTGATTTCCAGTTGTTTAT